CAGAGAGCTTAACCAGCACAGCTGAAGACGAATATCCAACTGCAGACCGGCAGACAATGTCTACCAACAGCCCCACACGGTCAGATGTGGCACAAGGCCGAATTTAATGTGGGGTAACCCGAGCCCGTAGGCTCAGCAAAAAATTCACCGTAGACCACGTATAAAACGGGGTCGGGCAGCTGTTTCCCGAGACGAGACTCTGCCCTTCGGCATAGCTCCGTCTACCCAGAGGTAGAGAGCTTAATCAGCCCAGCTGCAGACTGGCCGACCCACACATTATTCACTACTGTATTTATGGGAATGGAGGCATACCCATTATCGTCCGTAGATATGCTACAACAGTTATATAGGAATAAAATATCGTTGCCAACACCGGAGTTTGAACACAGATCACCAGTGAGCAAACACGGGTGATTCCATTTCTAATTAGTAGACCAAGTGATCGTAAAGAAAATGTATATGTTGGAATTAGTGTGGCGTCTAATAGATCACCATTTCTATTCTATCCTCTATTACTATACCGTTCGGTATTCTCTATACTATTCACTATTTCTACACTATTTTTCTATATTGATCACTATACAGATTACTATTCGGTTGTTACTTTTCGAGCGAGTATGATCGAGCAAGTACTATTAGTGCGTGTGTTATTCGAAGGCGTCTGACACCAGTATTGTTCAACGGCGTTACTATAGTTGTATCTGCGATTACAAAGTCTCTACTACAACGAGCATTATGAAAATGACAATGAGTATTCGTTGACATTACAAAAGCGGAAACAAGTGTTCGCTGAGATTACAAAACATTCTTTCTCTGTTCACGTTTTTCTTTCTCTCTTTCTAACACTTTCTCTGTTTACCACGTTGTCTATCTTTCTCCTCCACATTGCAGCTATTCTCTTCTTCTTGCTTCTCTCTCTCTCTCTCTCTCTTTGCCACAGCGTGTTCCATCCTCCCCTCTCTCTCTCTCTCTTTCTCTCTCTCTCTAGCTAATAGCTTCTCTGTCTCTCTCTGTCTTTCTTTGTTCACGTTTTTATTTCTAACAATGTCTTTCTCTGTTTACCACTTTGGCTTTCTCCTTCACAAAGCAATCATTTTCTTCTTCTTCTTCTTCTTCTTCTTCTTCTTCTTTCCTCTCTCTTTCCCTCTTTGTCTCAGCGTAATCCCCTTTTCTCTCTCCCTCCCCCCCCCCTCTCTCTCTCTCTAGCTAATACATTCATTTCCTTCTTTCTCTCTCTCTTTCTTTGCTCACGTTTTTCTTTCTCTCTGAAACAATGTCTCTTTTTTCAGTTTGTCTATCCTCCGCCTTGCATCAATCCTCTTCTCTCTCTCTCTCGCTTTCTGTCTCCCTCTCTCTCTCTCTCTCTCTCTATATATATATATATATATATATATATATATATATATGTATCTGTCAGATCTATCTCCCTAACTTCATATTTTTCTCTAGGTTCTTATCACTGTCTGTCTGTCTTTATCCCCACCCGTTCTCTCCCCCACCCCGGTACCAGCGTCCTTGAATGTGTGCCAATACGTGCGTAAATCATCATTACGCCCAATAATGCTAAAACGATATTCTGGGGGAGTTCGCTTCATTTATTAAGATTTTAACCCCACTTCCATGCGATTAAACCCATAAAATTTATTAAATCCATGTTTCATTTGCCCAACTACACGTCCCAACCACCTCAAATGTAGCCCCACCCGTTTTTCTGTCCATCATTTAGAGGCACAGTTTTATGGGGATATGTGGGGAAGATAACGGTTAAGCCGAGACTTGAACAGTTTAAGAACTCAGTGATCGGGAAGGCACTCTCTTAAGAGTCGGTTCCACAAAGCAAGGGTCTATGGGAAGAAACTGCTCAAGTGGAATTTACATCTCACCGATGGAATACGAAGGGAATGAAGATGGTTCGCTGCAATGTGTTTGGCGTAGCGGGTCATAGCCGTGAAGGTTACAACTGGTGAGACTAAGAAATGTTGTTAATTTGAACAATTGATGCATGCGTATGAGTATACGTGTGTATATCTATGCATCTACGTATAAGGTACATCAACAACTTAATGATGAAAAAAGCATTTATTTCCCCCCCTCTTTGTCAATGCACTTAACCCAACGCTTGTCCATTAATAATTAATTGGATATTATTCAGTGACAATTTGATATCAAAATTAAGTTAATAATTGTGTTAGGCTACAGATTTCTTGGCTCATTTCCGTATTTGGTGATTTTCTAAGCTTAAACGTGGTTCAAGGCCGGAAGTATGGAGCGCTCAGAGAAGATCGAATTCACTACTCAGTCGTAACTGATCTAGTGAGATAACCTTGCTAAATATTACACTACGTCGAAGTCCCAAAATGATTTTCTAAGCGTAATTTAGGTGTGGCACAAGGCCGAAAGTATGGAGCGCCCAGAGAGGATCGAATTCCCTAATCAGTCGTAATTGAGCTAGTGAGATAACCTTGCTAAATATCACACCACTTCGAAGTGACAAAATGATTTTCTAAGCGTAGCCCAGATGTCACACAAGGCCGAAAGTATGGCGCACCCAGTGAGTATCGAAATCACTATTGAAAAGAACCGAGCGAGACAAGCTTATTAACCATTACACTACGCCCAAGTGCCCAATCCACCTTTGTATGCGTGTACTTGTGGATGTACGTATACCTGTATATATGTCTTGAGTATGAAATGTCTACTTGAGAGACACTGTTGACGACTGGTGTTAACGATTCTAAGAAAGGCAGGATTGAATACACAAAACTGAAACGGTCTGCTTCCTACACGGAAATCAGATGCTTCCTCCTAGGGAAAGGTACGTAACAGACTCTCTCCAGTGAAGAATGTCGGTGGGTATGCCTATCAAATGCTGGCTTAATTAGTCACACACGTCGCCACAACGGCAACACTATAACGTTCAGTCTGATTTCACTTGCAATCTATGCAACAAACTGTGCCGATCAGGGAGTTGATTTACCCGGTATTGCAAGTTACAGGATCATGATACCAGTGGTAAGCTTGCTTGTAAAACCTGTACCTTATCTTGTAGGTCACTCGCTAGAGTCACCAGGGATGTCATCAGCGACAAAGAAATCAGCAGTAAAGTCATGAAGATGGTCATACTCGAAAACGAGTTCGCTGGCCACTACTATACTCGCGTATGTGTTCACGAGTCTCTAAAATTGTTCGTTTGCGTGCGACTGTTCTTCCGCGTGTGTGTTGTTTCTGTGTGTGTGTGTGTGTGTGTGTGCGTTGTGTGCTTGCTTGTGTGTATGTGTCTTTTCGTTTTTATGTTTCTTTGCGTGTGAATTTTGTGTGTGCGTTTGTATGTGTGTATGCGTTTGCGTGTATGTGTGTTGTGCGTTTGAGCGTGTTTGTGAGTGTGCTTGTGCGCGGGGTTTTGTGTTTGCTTGTGTACATGTGTCTTTGCGTGTATCTGCCTTTTTGTGTGTGTGTGTGTGTGTGTGTGTTTGCGTGTGTGCTTCTATGCGTTTGCGTGTGTGCATTGCGTGTGTGTTGTGTGTGTGTTTGCGTGTGTGTTTTGTGTGTATTCACGTGTATATGCGTTTTGTGTGTTTCATTGCTCGCGTGTGTGTGTTTACGTGTGTGCGTATGTGTGTATTTGCATCTGTGCCATATGCTCGCGTATATGTCTCTGTTTGCATGTGTGTGTGTTGCGTTGTGTTTTTGCACGAGTGTTTGCCCGCGCGTGCGCTTGTGGGTGGGGGGGGGGCGGTTTGCGTGTGTGTGTTGTGTGCATTTTTGTGTGGTTGCGTCCTCTTAATCTAAATTTTGTTTCCATCCAATCTGCTGATCTAAATCCAACAAGATAATCCTTTCGATTTCCGGTCAGTTCATCTAAATCCAGTGAGATAATCCTTTCGTTTGGAATTCTTTCCGCCTTGAAAAATAAGTGAATAACATTTTTTCCATTTTATTGTCCTCTCTTAATAGTGTTTTTTTTTAATCTCATTTTCCTGGGAACCTTGCGTCTTAGTGGCTTTATCTGCTTGCTTGGGGTGAAATGATTAAAAAAAAGCATACTACTAGATTGGCAACTAGGTCTCATTGTTTTACTGTTGTAATAGCTAGACGTAACCGTAAGTTCTACTCTATTAGTTTCTTCATCCGCACTTCTCGCTTGTGGAACTTTTTTCCGGTTTCTTGCTTCCTTGCCATTTGAATCTTCAAAATTTTAAATCGCCATCTTCTGCCTTCCCGATTTCTGTTCTTTTGTTGCCCTTCCTCCTCACTAAAGTTTTTTCATTCTCTTTCACTCCCAGTAACAACCCTTACGTCTTAGTGGCATTATCCCCTTGGTCTTTTTTTTTTTTTTTTTTTTTTGAGTTTTTTTAAGCATTACACCCGAAGCAAGGCGGGAATCCACTATTACGCAAGGGGTTACAGAGGATTTGGAGCGAGAGCAGGTAGGAATGATAGAGGGAAGGATGGGGAGAAGGATAGTGGATAGATCAAGGCAACTGGAGACATTACATTTGAAAAGTTGGAGATTATAGCTCTCAGGGAAACTGGAATAGGGAAGGGAGTTCCACAGGCGAGAGGTGCGAGACATGAAGCTATTGGAGTAGAAAAGGCGGCTAAATTTAACAGTTTCAACAGTGAAAGGATGAGAGAGGGATTCCAGCCTTGTAGGAGGCTTGAATTCGCGAAGTCTTGGAACCAGCGAAAACAGCTCATCGGAGCAATTACCATGAAAGTATTTGTAAAAAAGACAGAGAGGCGACGGCGCGTCTGTGAGAGAGCGACTGCAGACGAGATGCCAGAACATGGCCAATTGCATTGCATATCCGTCTCTGGATCTTATCAAGCACCCCGAGGCAAACAGAAGGGGCTCCAGACCATATATGGCAGCAATACTCCATGCAAGGGCAAATGGTTGATTTGTAGATTTGAAGGATTGATTCCGGGGAGAAAAATTTCCTGGCGCGGCACAGGGAGCCAACTTTCCTTGCGGTGGACGAAGCAATTGACTCAATGTA